CTCTCTCTCTCTCTCTCTCTCTCAAATAAATAAATAAAAATTTAAAAAAAAAATAAAAGTAAAGCTATAGATTAAGGCATTAATAAGGCAACATTTGTTGGATCTGTAGAATCAAAAACCAAAAGTGGACAATTGCTTATAAAGTACTTGAGGATAAAACGAACTACTGAAGCTATAACCATGAAAGAGCCTCATTGAAAAACTGGCCAACCATTTCAGCATTATCGCATCCCACCTCCTCTAAAAGCTGTTCCTAATCATTCTAGTACATGCTGATCTCTCCCAAGAACCTACCTATAAAACTTACTGATCGTGCTGGCTCCAAAAGTCCCCTAAGGCAATTCCTTAACTCTCTAGGTCTCTCTTCTACAGGGTAGCATGCCCAGCTCTCTGCAGCAGGCTGAGCAGGGCTCTCAGGAAGAAACTGGAAGTCAAGTGAGCTCCAGTGAGGCTTCCTTCACAGGTCTCCCCTGTGACAAGGATGACTAAGCGGAGTGGGAAAGGAGCCACTGCGCCAGGGCTCCCCGCAGAATTTATGTGTTACAGAAATGTCCTTGAAGAACAAATGGCCAAAATCGTAACAGACATGACAGGGAATTTTAAATAGTGCCCATATTGAATGGACGTGAGAAATGCAGATAGAGATGATTGGCCTGAGCTCAGCTTAGGGCTGGGGAGATAGCTCAGTAGAATAAGCGCTTGCCTAGCAAACTTAGGGTCCTGAGTTCAATTCCCAGTACCACCAAAAAAAAAAAAAAAAGGAAATACTGAGCTCAGTTTACTAGGAAGTTGATGGGAAACGTAAAGGAATCACTCTGGCAGGAAGTATCCCTGTCATATTCCCCTATATGAAATACTGAAACTTTCTCTCGATTTAGTAAATACTTACAGAGCTTCTGCTATATGCACAATGATGATGATAGGTAGCTGGGCATGGTGCTGCAAACCTGTAATCTTATCAACCAGCAGACTGAAGACAGGAGGGTGGCAGTGAGGTTGAGATCAGCCTAGGATACTTAGTTCAAGACATAATAAGACCCTGACTCAAAACAAACAAAAAATGATAACTAATTACTAGGTGTATTTCCTAGACCTGTTTCCACTGGTTGAAAGTGTCAGCCCTAGAGAGAGTAGTTTGAAGTAGAGGTTGGGAGGGGATGTGTCCCATTTTTGCTCTAGAGTACAAATAGATCATAGGTGGAAAACCTGTGTCTCATTCTGAATTCCTTATGTAATGCCAAGTGCAAATGGGTATTTGAGAAATGAAAGGCAAATATCTAAACAAACCGTCTTTGCACATCCCTGAAATAACTGTGAAGGTTTCCTCTGTTGCAGGCATCAGAAGTTGAGAGACAACTCTCCATGCAGGTCCATGCCCTCAGAGAAGACTTTCGGGAGAAAAACTCATCGACCAACCAGCACATTATCCGGCTCGAGAGCCTTCAGGCTGAGGTAAGACTGGCCATGTGGCAGCATTTGAAGGTGAAGTACTTTTTTTTCCTTGGAGGTGCCTCACTGCATCTTTGTATAAGGAGTTCTCTGAACTGAGAAATGAAAACCTGCTATATATAAAAGGGACTAAACTTGCCAGAGAGAGATAGTTCTATGAGAAACTAAATGAGGAACACTTGATAATTGTAACATTGGGTAGCTTGTTGTCTGGAAGAATAACAGTACTCAGAGTTACTGCTGAAAGTCTGGAAAGTATGAATGACCTATATTTTACTGAATATGTCAGTGCCTGCAAAAAGATGCTTGCCAACCTCACATAAAAGTTGGGAGCCAGTGAGATAACTCAGTGGCTTAAGCACCTGCCTGGCAAATGCAAGGTCCTGAGTTCAATCCCCAGTACCAAAAAAAAAAAAGTTGGGGGAGGACATTTTTCTCCATTCCTCTTAGGTCCAGTTCAGTCTGCACTAATAGGATGTTACTGGTCTCACCTATAAACTAAAACCAGTAGGCATTTCTACTTCATAAGGATTTTGTGACAACTCAGTGGGTTAAAACATGGAGAGTACTTGACCTGGTCTCTGGGACATAAGTGCAGAACATGGTGGCCAGAGTCTGTGGCCCTGAGTGGGCTGGGGACCAATACTATAAGCATCCAGTCACGTGGGAAGTAGGATAAGGGACATATCATCAGCTGAACCAGGTTAGGGGCTTACAACTTATATTCTCCTAAAGGCCCCTCATCCTCTTTGGCTAAGTCAGATTCTGAGAGACAGTCTAGCAATAGACAAAAGAACCCCTCCCTGTGGCTGAAGAATTAGCCGTGTGGTCAGGCTGGAGAAGCCCCACAGCTGCCTTCCTGCTTTATAAGTCACTGGGCATGTTTTTCCTAAAGTCTATCAATATCTTCTCTTTTCTTCTCCCTCTGCACTTCCTTCCATCCTCTTTTCCCTTGGAATTCCTACTGATATTGAGCAGCAGGTTCTTGAAGTAAGTAGATTTGTTCCGGTAGGTTCAGCATGCCGTCTGTGCCCATCTGTGTGCATGACTTGTTGTTCAGCTGCCTCTCCCAGGCTCTGACTCTGTCAAGTTGCCTGACTTCCTCTTTCCCATGCCTGTTCATTTTTTTCTAGACCCTCATGAACAAGTCATTCCAAGGAATTTTTATTGCCAGATTTGGTCACAAGTTTCAGAGTATAGAAGGTAGAGTAAGAGAATTGACAGCCTAATACCAATTCCTCACTTCACCCTGTAACACTGCTACTTTCAAAGGCCAGGCTCTGAAATTGCTCCTTTTAACTAAGTATTTCCCAAAACTTTGAACTTGTAAGATTTTTCAGGGCTGTTTCTATATCAGAATCATGTTACCTCATTGCTTCACTGAGTGAAACTTGGGAAACAAAGATGATCCATGGGAAAGAGAATTTAAAAGTCAGAGGGTATTTACATGAAAATGAACTAGAGTGAGAATTCCCTTCACCTGGTTAACTCTGCTTTAATGTAGGGAATAGTGAGCCCATTCACAAAAGGAGCTTGCTGCTTTTGGTCTCTTATCCAGATACACACTTGAGAGACAGGATTTCTTTGTCTGTCCAGACATCTGATCTCTCTGGCCAAAGGCCACATACCTCATTTCCCCAGTACAGCATCTTATCTGATTGATCAGTAGCCAAGAAAGATCTGTGCCTTATGAGTGGAGCTGTAGTGCAGAGAGTGGATATAACCAAGGAGCAGAGAGAGGTGGCTCTCAGAAGACCTAGAACAGGTTAGACATTCATTTCAGTCTCCCCTGGAAAAGCTCTGAGGTTGGTCCCCAGAACTTACCCAGATGAGAACTTTAGGCCTTGTTCTCTGGGCTGCCCTAGAGAGCCTGGAGAATATCTTCACCAACAATGCAGTATGACAAATAATCAGTCAGGCAGGGAACTGATAAGTAGGAGCCGGGGGACCTGCAGGGTCCCCAGAGTTACCCCTAATCCAGTATCATTTGGGAAGGCTTTCTGGAGCCCCTGAGCAGGGCAGTGTTCTAGGTGAAACATTGTTGGCTTTGGGAGCCCTGACTCAGAGTTGCTCCCTGCAAACCTGAAAGCCTCAGAAGACTAGTCAAATCCTCCAATTTCTGCCACTGAAGAGAGCAGATAGACCTTCCAACAAGGGAATGTATGTATCTTGACAGTGACTAGGTAACTCATTATGCAGACAGAGCAACCTTTTTCACAAAATTTGCTTCTGTTCACAAGCTGCTTGTACAGGATAAGTTGTTCTCAGTAAAGTCAGTGATTCACGTGGTCCCTGTCCCACTCCCCCGAGCACAGGTTGATGTAGGTACTACTTTGCTTTCTGTACCTTGCTAGTTCCTCCACTGGGGCCCTAGGTCTGAGCTGTGGCCTCTAGCACCAGAAGGACCAGTTATGGGGAGAGGACAGAGGAAGACCTGAAAGTGCAAAAACATGAGGCTCCAGAGGAATGCATGGGTACTTTCTCATCCTCACAGCCTAGAGAAGGAAGAGTAGTAGCAGCAGCCGGGTTCCACCCCCAACCAACATTGGGGCTGGGGTAAAGCTGAGGCCAGGCAAGGTGGAGCCTTCTCTGTCTTATCTCTGGAATTTCCAGAGCACTAACCATCCCTTCCTCTGCCTGGCAGCCCACATTCCAGCTTCCCCATGGCTGCCTCCCACCACTTCCCAGCTTCCTAGAGGGGAGGGGCTTTCTCTTCAGCCAAAGATTGTACTACTTCTCTTTCTGAGATGGGAACCCCCAAGTCCCTAGGCACAACACCTAAAGACATGTGCCACCCTGTTGAGGCCTAGTCCTCTTTGTGCACATCAGCCCAGGTGTAACGTCACACCACTCCTGTGGCCTTTCAGATCAAGATGCTGTCGGATCGGAAACGGGAGCTAGAGCATCGCCTCAGTGCTACCTTAGAAGAAAATGACCTGCTACAAGGGACTGTGGAAGAGCTACAGGACCGAGTGCTGATCCTGGAAAGGCAAGGCCATGACAAAGACCTACAGGTACTGGACAGAGATTCTGTCCTGCAGGACTAGGGCCAGACAGTAAGAGCACTTAGCAGAAAGGGGAAGCCAACTGCTATGGTTGGTCAGGAGTGGGTGATATGAAGGTCTCACAATGGACCTGTTAGGATTCTCCTAGGCATGCTCTGATACAATCATAGCGAAACATATCATTCCTCACAAGGCCTTGCCATCACTAGAAGTTTTGCACAGTTTTTTCTGGGCTCTTAACCGGGCTGGAACACTGAGATTGTCATTCTGGCCTCCTGGCATTTGTAAAACATGCTCAATTTCTGAGGCAGCCTGGGCCCCTGTCCTCAGCTCACAGCATTCTCTGATGCTGTCTTCCTAGGTGGAGGGGTTTAGTTGGCTGGCATAGAATAGAAACCAAGAAGCTCCCCACTGAACACAGCAAGACATATCCTGCCTTTGAAAATATACAATCTGAGCCCTTTTGGAGCCTAATTCGTCTCTTTGTCTCCCTGAAGGAAACTGCTTCATAGTCATATATGTCCTTTTTAGGGAACTGCCACCAGGCTTCAGCTGAATTTCTAAGCTTACACTTGACAAAAACAGACCCTTAGACAAAAAGATAATCACCCTCAGCCTTCCCAGAAAGGGTGTGGCATCTGCTACCAATGTGTTTTGCTGGGAAGACTTGGGACTATAGGCTAGGGTGTACTGGTTCCCTTTTAGACATGGCAGGAAGTGTACTAGACAACCATAATGTCATTTATTTTTTTTAATTAATTAATTTATTTATTTATTTATTTATTTTGCGTGTGTGTGGCCAG